TTTATAAGCAGTCTGACTATTTGGAAGATATTTTTTTGTGTGAAAGAATATTTTTATTATTAAAACTTTTGATTCTTTCTAAATATTTTTTTTTTTTAATTTTAAATATAAATCAGATTTTAAGAGAATTCGTTTGTTCATATAATTTACTGTTTTTTTGAATAATTTTATTTACACTTTTTAGACGTTTTATGTTTATAATATGTTAATTAATATTTAATTATTGGAATTGTTATATCAGCATATTGTTTTAAGAGGAAAAGATGGTATATCATTCTCCTAAAAGCCACACCACACCACATTCTTAATAGGTAGATAAGAGTCAAATTCAACTGATATAAACCTTTGCATTCGGTTTTTCAAAATTTATTTTTACGCAAATACAAACTCATTTCTAATGTTATTCTTAAAAATGCAGTTATCTTTATAATTGAAATTTTGAAAATATTTCTAAAAAAAAAATATAGCTTTTTTTTTCTTTTTTTTCTCAAAAACTACCACAATTTTATTTTTGAAATTAATGCTATTGTAATTTTTAATTATTTAAATATATTTCAAATTGTTTATTTAATTTTTTACTTAATGAACTATGTATAATTTGAGATTTTTTAATGTGTATTGCTTGCTGTGAGAGTTGCATAAAAAGTTTCATTCAAGTTATGCAATAATTTCATGCATTTGTCACATAAATGAATACTGTCAAATTTACTTTATTAAAGAATTTTTTTGCAGAAATAATTGTACTTCACAATCAGACCTTGCTGTAAGAAAGCAGAAAAACTTTGTTATAACACTAATTAGCAGCAAGAAAATAGAAAACAAATGTTCTTGAATTCCCCAATACTCTTTCCCCAATGAAAATAAAACTAAAAACAAAATATATTAATTAATTAAGAGGGGCATCTTAACTTTTTGATATTTCGGATCAAATTTTTTATTTCATTCCAGATAGTAAAGAATATTTTAATTAAATTGCACTAAAATCCATTCAATAGTTTTCTTTTATAGAGATTAAACACGAATCAATTCTTTTTATAAAATGGATTTATGGTATATGTAAAGCAATTTTTTGTGCATCTAAATCCAGCTATTTGGGATTCACCACTAACTTCAAATACAAGAGATTGTATTCATTACAATTAATTCTTATGTTTAGATTGAAATATAAAACAAATTTAAAAATTTGGCTGTTTTTTATTTCTTAACTTTACATAAATATTCAGAAAATATTACAAATATTAAACTCTTTTCACCAGACGGAAATTTTCTCGCAAAGAAAGCAGAATAAATTTATATTGTAATTTTAGTCTCGTAAATGTGTCGCTTGCATTCCTTCGCTTCAAACTTTGCAAAAAAGCTAAAAATGTACATACATTAGATTTCGTTACAATTACAATTTTTTAAATTTTTCATCTGAATAAAATATGAATTTAATTTGGTCCTTATTTATTTGAAAATAATAATTTGAGAAGAGAGAGAGAGAGGAGAGAGAGAGGAGAGAGAGAGGAGAGAGAGAGAGAAGAGAGAGAGAGAGAGAGAGAGAGGACCCCCACACGCGTAGGAAATTAAGTTATTGGTATTGAGAAAAAACAAACAGGAAATAGCATTATTACGTTCTGTGCATATGCTTAAAAGGTATTAAAAGGAAGAGAATAGTTTAATGGAAAAATAGAAAAGTTTAACTGCTCGCACTTTTCTTAATTTTCATTATTTTTCTTATTCCAAAATGAATGCTTTCGTGCTTTCGATTTTCTATTAAGCTTCAAGTTAGTTCAATATTCTGGTTAATTATTTTTAAAAAAGAAAGTAATTCCTAAATATCACGGGTCCTCTCTAGGCAAGAAGGGAAAGGTTTTGTTTGTCTCCTCACTCGAAACCAATCCCCTTTTTTTTCATAACTGCCATACCCTCCTCGTGGGGGGGGGGGGATCTATTCAAAGTCCCTGGTACTGTCTGTCATGATTGTTATACAAGGACCATACCGGCTGTTTCTCACCCTGGCAGATAACAATCTTTCCCAGATCACATGCTCACTCTATGCGTTTCCCATGTAATTGGAATTTTCTTCCAACAACAACGATCTTTTGCTGCCGCCATCTTATGCCCAAGGGTCACTTCTAAAAATAGTGTTGCTGTAGTGTTGGGCTCAAATCTCCTTTGACGTAATGATGGCTGTGAAAAACCTCCAATTTGCCCATTGGTAATAGAAATCAATTAAAACAGAGAATGTATTTTCTGTAGAGATTTTCTTGGATATTTTAAAAGAAACTAAAATTATAAACTTAAAATGCCATATAATCCCCCCCCCCATTTTTAACTCTTGCATGTATATCAATATTTATTACAGTTAAAATGAAATAGTATAGTTTTTACCCTAATCAGAAAAAATTTATAAAATTTGAATTCCTTTTTTTTTTTTTTTTTCGGTTTTATTACTGTTATTTAGTCAGAAATAGTAGCAAAATTTTAAATTTTACTATCGAAAAAAAAATCAGATACACCTATTTAAATTTTTAATATTTCTATCCTCATAAAAAATATAATCATTTTTTTTTTTTAAGATTTAAAAAATCAAATCCTGGAAACGCTAATCTGAGATAAAACTTGAAGCTGTTTGAATTTACTTTGCATAATTTATCTGTAAACAAGCACAAAGAACTACTTATGGGATGGCCTACATGTTCTTCAGAAACTTGATACTATGTAAATATAAATCAAAATGTTTGAAAATTCGGAGTAAGAAACATTTTCATTATTTTTAAGTAGTTTGTTATATTCTTACATTAAATGCACTCTGATGTTAAAAAATGGCGAAATAAAAAAAATTTTGGAATAAAATTCATTATAGTAAAACCGTCCCTTTATTTATCCTATACAACATGAAAAGTTAGTATATACATTTCCTAAATTTAATAATTAAAAATTAATGAATAGCAATCGTAAAAATTAATGAATTGCACGTTCGGAACCGTGATTTTAAAAAAAGCGCATAAATGGATAATTTGCATGATATTTAGTGTCACTTAGATTAGAATACATGTATAAAATTGTTTTAAGGACACATTTTGACAAAAAAAATTTATCTCTAAATACAATATATATATTTCGGCTAAAAATTAACTTAGAATAACCTTTATTCAAAATGTTCTCCTTTTGTGAAAAATGCTTCTATTATAATAAAATTTTGCCTTTATGTAGCTCAGACCTCTGTACAGAGGCTCAACTATGATTTTTGAAAAATTCAGATTATTTTCAGAGTTACAATCAATTGAAATAATTATCGGCGTTTTTTTCTTAAAATTTCTCCCCTCTGTTGTCGTAAAACATGGATAAGCCCCTTCTAAGTTATATATTTCAAAAATTCTAGTTGAGCCTCTGTACAGAGGTCTAAGCTATATGCAGGCAAAATATTATTATAATAGAAGCATTTTTCACAAAAGAAGAATATTTTGAAAACGGGTCATTCTATGTTCATTTTTTGTCCAAATATTGCACTTAAATATTTTTTTATTGTAATACTATTCTTAAAACAATTTTATATACATTTTCTAATCTAAGTGACACTAAATATCATAAATATTATCCATTTATACGCTTTTGCAAAATCACGGTTCCGAACGCGTATTCGGATACCTTAAGTAAACAATTGAAAATGACAAGCTTTTTTTCTTTCAAACTAATTTCTCTTAGAGATATCGTAACATGTATTCGCTTGACAATATGTTTGAAAGTTATAAGCTACATGTGGTCAGAATAAAGTTACTTCCACTTGTATAAGCTAACTGGTATTCTCCTAACTTGAACACAACACTATCCAAGAGGTGTGACTGCATATAAATTTGAAGTTCGCTGTCAAAAGGACCCATGCTATTAAATTTCAATGTTAAATTAATTTTAAAATGATTGCAATTTTCATTTTTGTTGTTTTTTAATTAATAAAGCTGTTTGATTGCTATTATTTAAATTTTCAATTTAGGTTTAAGAAATGTTGAATAATTTTTAGCAATGCATTGAATATGGGACAATTTTCTGCCAACAGTTATTGAATATATATATATATATATAGCTAATCAATAAAACATGTATATTTTTTATCTTTTGTGCACAACGCGCTCACATTAAATTCGATTACTAAAAACTTTAACACATTAGTTATTTCAGATGTTTTTAACATCAGAACATATTTTAATATTAAAAATGTATCAAGTTATAGAAAAATAATGTGCAGACATTTTATATATTCCTTATTTTTTAATACTTGGGTTGATTTTAAAGTAGCATTGATTTTTTGAAAAATATGTACGTGATCAGATAAGTAGTTTTTATGTGTTTATCAATCGGCTAATTAGCAAATTAGATGTTTTAGTCATTACTTGAATTTTATTTTAGATTAACGTTTTCGAGAGTTGATTTTCTTTAACCCTTAAAAATCTTTTTATTTTCTCATAAGGATGGAAATATTAATTATTTTACAAGCTTTTATTTAACTTGCAATGTAAAATGTTCGGGTGGAATCTTGCAACACAACTTTGAAGCTGATGTGTTCAACCGATTGAGCTGAAATTTTGAATACAGGTTTAGTTTGGATGATAATGCATGTTTTGATCATTTATATTCCGATATCTCAATTAGTTAAAAATATATTAATTAAAGTAATTTGTTCGGGTGGAATCTCTCTCTCTCTCTCTCTCTCTCTCTCTCTCTTGCAACTCAATTTTGAAGCTTTTGTCTTCAACGGATTGAGCTGAAATTTTGTATACACGTTTAGTTTGGATTACAATGCATGTTTTGATCATTTATATTTCGATATCGCAATTAGTTAAAAAAATATTAATTAGAGTAATTTGTTCGGGTTAAATCTTGCAACTCAATTTTGAAGCTGATTTCTTCAACCGATTGAGCTGAAATTTTGTATACACGTTTAGTTTGGATGACAATGCATGTTTTGACGATTTTTAGGTGTTAAGGCGAGCATGTTTACAATAATAAAGGTGTGGACCGGGGGCGTAGCTCAGATGGTAGAGTGCTCGCTTAGCATGCGAGAGGTACGGGGATCGCGATACCCCACGTCTCCATTTATTATTTTTTCGTGTAAAATATTTTTGAAATTCGTTTGATTTGTGTGTGTACAACGGGATATTTTACAATACTTCCACTCAGCATACGTACAAAGTATGTTATATTTTTACTGTTCTAAAGGGGGAACAGTAAGAAAGGCAGATCTATCAAGCGATTTCTATTTACTTTGAAACATTCTATGATATCTATTTACTCGATTCTAGTTTCTCCCGTAACACTTTTAATTGACCTAGTTACAGTAACGACCTTGTTCAGGTGTTAAGGCGAGCATGTTTACATTAACACAGGTGTCGACCGGGAGCGTAGCTCAGATGGTAGAGTGCTTGCTTAGCATGCTAGAGGTACGAGGATTGATACCCCATGCCTCCAACTATTATTTTTTCATGTAAAACATTTTTGAAATTTGTTTTATTTGTACAATGAGATATTTTACAATACTTCCACTCAGCATACTTACAAAATATGCAAAGTTTACAAGCTTTTATTTAACTTGCAATGTAAAATGTTCGGGTGGAATCTTGCAACTCAATTTTGAAGCTGATGTCTTCAACCGATTGAGCTGAAATTTTGTATGCACGTTTAGTTTGGAGGACAATGCATGTCTTGACCATTTATATTCCAATATCGCAATTAGTTAAAAAGACTAGCTGCATATCCTGGCTTTGCACGGGCATTCTCTATTTTTATAAATTTTACTTTTCCTTCACAAAATCAGCACTTCTAATACTCTTTTTCAAAATGATTTTCCCCCATCCCCTCTTCCGCTTAGCCCTGCGTTGCTCAGGCTTTTACCGAGGGTATAACTTAAAATTCCCTGTTTCGAAATTTTTTTGCTTCTTTTCTTTGTCAAACAGGTTTATAAGCGCCCCCCCCCCGGCGTTGAACGTACATTTTTAAATGCATAACATATTTTCATGGAAATTCCCCTTCCCCTCTCGCTATCAGAGCTCTCGAGTAAGTGATCATTCACCGATTCTTAAGCAGCTTGACACGTGCAGCCATATAGTGGCACAAAAAGTAATGAATTATTGCACAAATGAAATTCATAAAAAAAGATTTCGACATTTGATTTTAAATCACTAATTGTAAAAGATCAAAGTATGAGCTTTTTTAAAATCATTTTCGTATAAACACTTCGATACTGATTCATTTTAGGAAAAATCATAAAATATGTAAAGTATCGTTGTTTTGAATTAAAAAAAATACATATTGTATTGTGACGAAATAAATTTTCTTTCCAATTACAAAATTGATAGCGAAGTTATTAAATGCGCGAATAAAATTGTGAGTATTTTTTTTTTAAAAAATCATAAAAACTAATTGATCATGTTGTTTCGAACCCCGTTACAAAAGTTACTAATCCAGCGCTCTAAGTGACCAATTCACGAAATGTTCGGAACAAAATAAATAAAAGACCATTGAAATAAAAGGAAGAGATATTCAATTTCGCATTGCGTTATTTGTTAAAGTTTAATTTTTTTTTTTTTTTTTTTCGGGCTTCATTTTCAAATTAATGCTTTTAAACTTCATGTATCGATTACAAACAACGGTAATTTTTAAACAAAAAATGTAACAAAAATAATGCTTAAGGCTCTCGTTGATACGCCACCACGGAATCTCGAGCGTAATGTTAATCCTATGGAGTTTCTTTCTCCTATATTTACATCTAGGGTATTGCTTGCAATTGCATGGAATAAAATGCATCTAAAAGAGCGAAAAAAAAATTAAATTCTTCCATTATTTCGATTTTTTAAAAAAATTTTCTAAGTATTTTTAAATATTAATTAAAGATCTGAAAATTCATATCTCTAGTGCATTAAAACGATCATAAAAACATTTTAAATTATCGGATAAAAAAAGTAAAAACAGGAAAAATTTCCTTTTTTTATGCCCCTTCAAAGGCGCATACTTTAAAATTTTTAAATTAATTTTTTTTGCGAGTAATTATTAAGTCAGCATTGCACATTTGGTAAGAGGGGGAAAGTAAACTTGTAACTCCACCTTCTTGCGGAAGGATACATGAAATTTCCCCGTATGTTCCATTGATGAATGGTAATTTATGACTCTTCCGTGGAGACTGTGTAACAGGTTTTTTTTTTTTTTTCCTTTTCCAAATGGGGCTAGTTTTCAAAGAATTCATAGCGCATTCAAGAAACTATTTACATTTGCGCCATTCTTTGGAAGTGCAGTGCATTCTTTGAATTTGCACTTGAAAATTTCTGCTAATACGTCTTCTAAAATAAGTTATTATCTGTTTTTTTTATTCTATTTTTCTTAATTTTTTTTTTATATCCTAGACAAATTATATTTTGTTAATCACTAAAAGGAACAATTAATATTTATTAAATACCTCTTGAATCGTCAGGGTAAAGTGAATCAATTTTCACATTCTTTTCTTTCAAACCTCCAAAATTGAGAATCGTGCCATGTAGGAGAGGCGTTGAAAAGCTTAGGGTTAGAAAAACTCTTTGGGTTTGAAAATTCGTCCCTGCGGACTTTTCATACATCCAAAATTTCAATATTTAGCTGTCACTCCCGATGGTATTGTGGAGGTTAAATGTCCCGCTTCTTGCCAAGACATAACTCCTAATGAAGCAATAAGCTTAAAAAAAATTCTTTTCTGGAAAATTGATAGATTCGGCCAGATACAAATAAATAAAAATCACGATTACTTTTACCGAGTACAGGGGCAATTACAAGTAACAGGAAAGGAATATTGCTTTTTTGTAATGTGGACAAAAAAAGGGTGCAAAATAGAAAAAATATTCAAGGACGATGTGTGTGTGTGTGGTTTTTGGCGAGATAAAATGTTTAAAAAGTTGGAACCTTTTTATTTTAATTGTTTATTGCCAGAACTTACAGATCCAAGATATCCTAGATCGATGCCGATACGTAACCCGGCTTCGATTCTGGAAGCACAGGAAAAAGCAAAAATCCTTGTAAATACGTCTTTTTGCTGGATTATATAAATTAACGCAATGAACTACTGCTAGTTAGGTAATGCAAATATATATGTAAATACCTTGCATCATGAAAATATGTAATTAAATCATAAAAAAGAATTTTTGTTTTTGTTTTATCTGTTTTTTATTGTTCTGTTTTAATTATATCTTCATATAATGTTTCATATCTTCAATAAATGCTAAATTAAAAAAAAATCTACATTTGAAAAATTGATTTTTTGAAAGTATATAATGTGCTGGTAACCTTAAAATTTTCAAAATTTAGTCAAGCTATTAAAAGCTGCCATATATATTTTTTAATATTGTAATATAAGTGTATACCTAATCAACCAATAAAATAGTTTTTTTACGTAAACACTTTTGTTACATACTGTGGAGTGACACGTGGAACAGGATCCTCGCCCCTCACTCATATTTAATGCACAGACAAATCGTTACACAATTTTAATGTTTGACATCTCAGGAGGTTGGAAGAATCCGTGAAA